ATATCTACTAAGAATCTCAATACATAAAATTTTGGGATGCTACAATTTAAATGCCATTGGAAAGATAACACCCAAGGCTATAACCTGTGCGAAAAATGTTAAGTCAGACGAAGAAATTCCCAAAAAGATTTTGAGTGAGACAAATATAATATATGTTGTTATCTCTAACAAGTGAGTTAGTGTTTTAGAAAGACGTAAGAATAGATAAAATGACGAAGAGGCATAAGCACCAGATGATACAAGATAGAAGGCCAACATAAGCACTCAACAAGACCATGCCAAATACAGTTTAAGGTAGCACATAAAGAGTCAGACAAAAGATGATCAATGACCAAAAAGAAATGGAAAGCCTAACCATATACAAGGTTGACCAAGATGAAAGAAAAGTCAAAATACTAATCAGACAAAGGTCAAAGTATTGAACTAAATGTCGACCATTAGACGCAGACGAAGAATGACACACAATCACGGGAGAAATCAAGATTCAAAAGAAAATTTGAATATCATCTACACTCACAGAAGAACACACGAAGGCATTCGAATTATAAGAAGAAAGAAGAAGAGCATGCTCAAACGCTAAATCATGTATATGTTAGAAAAAGTACATCACTTTTTCAGGCAAGGACAAAAGCTCCATAGTTATAGGATTAGAAAAGGACAAAAAGGTTCCTAGGACTCTGCTATATTCAGACACAACTACTGAGCAAGGAAACGTCACGCATTGTCTATGAACAGGAAGCAACATTTAATGCAAGGCCAAATGCATTAAATGAAAGAATCAAACTAGTCATAAACGACTATATTAGCTTCAACGGACATATGCAACGGGAAGCTCGGCATCAATAGACATATTCAAAATCAAGCAACGGGCAGATTCTACAAGAATATATATATATATATATCACTACCTCAAACCTTAAAATGTTGGCTTTTCGATTGGAAGAAAAAGAGTGATATCAAGCCCACGAGACAGAGACCAGAGATGAGCATACATAGTCATATGTACAATGTAATATTTTATTTTTATATATATATATATATATATATCATTACCTCAAACCTTAAGAGGTTGGCTTTTGATTGAAAGAAAAAGAGTGATATCAAGCCCACGAGACTGAGACCAGAGATGAGCATACATAGTCATATGTACAATGTAATATTGTATTTTTATCTTTGTAGACTAAGGTGTTCGAAATGTCAGTGATGGACTAAACCTTAGTGAGTGTTGTAAACCTATGTATCCTCTCCATGAGAGTAACCCAAACATTCAAACATAAGTCTCTGTAAAACTAAGGTAGCGAACCTCAATGAATGTAGGAAATTTCCAATCCTCTTTGTGAGAGTTATGTATGCACTCAAACCAAAACTGTCCTGCCAACATAGTAAAGCCTGAAGAGGCTAGGAAAAGAAAACTTGTAAAGTCCGGAGGGCTTGTCAAAGAATACTTACTACTAGCCAAAAGTGGCTGAGAAGAATATACTAGCGTTGGTGAGTGAAGCCGACGGGTCAGGAGTGGTCGAGAATACTTGGCGAACCAGCAGTGGTTTAAGAATACTAGCATTGGTGAGTGAAGCTGACGGGCCAGGAGTGGTCGAGAATACTCAGATCCAAGAATGGACGATAATACTCAATGTTCTTCATTTCATATCTAGTGGAACCCTTCAAGTTGAAGGAGACTGGACGTAGCTCAATTGAGCAAACTAATATAAAATGATTGCCTTGTTTTTCTTGTTTAATCAGGAACAAATCTTATTTATTGATTAGATCTTGGTAAAAGACTTTGTCCAATATTTACATATCGTTAAAACCATTTCTCAGACGAAGATGCACATATATTAAATAGATCTATTACACTGAAAAGATTTATCAACTGCTTGTCTCTAAAACAAAATTATCTTAAAAAGGGAAATGTAAGAACTCCAACTATTATCTTTATGAAACATTTTCCCTAGCAGACGATAAACCCTTCAGAAGTATTGATCGTATGTTAAGAAAACTCTGTCTAATCGTCTGATATTTGAAAGTGTATTGGACGAAAAGGATTACACTTGCACATTTTTTTTTAAAATATTCTCCCTTCACACACACACATATTCAACCCCCCTTCTATGTGTTTTTCCGCTAACTTCAAAGAACATGAAGCCTAAAAATGTCGTTAAGGTCACCTCGGATGGATGACAACACAAAACTTAATATTTTGCACGCTTGAATGGAGATATAACTTAT